GCGACTATAGACTATCTACTGTTAAAAGAACATCTGGGATGTGAACAGTTCCCAGGAATGTGTTGTTTTAATTTGTCTGATTTTTCTCAAACTATTCAAATTCAGTTAGACAATATCCATCATATCATTGATAAGTTTTCACAAATGCCTAGGGTACCTAACTGGTTTCCTTGGTTTCACTGGATATGGCTGGTAATTGTAGGTCTGCTTTTGTTATGTAGCTGTATTCCTATTCTGTGAATGTGCATACACAATTTAATTAGTAGTTTAAAACCTATACATGCTTATGTTACTCTGCAAGAAGATATGTCAAAGAAAGAAAAAAAAAAGAATGACACTGGCCTCTGTGTCGCCTGGCATGGGGCATTGAGAAGGACACAACATCACTTCTGTGGTATTCCTGGCCAAAAATGCATAAAGTGAAGAAACATCAGACATACCAAAGTTTAGGAACTGTCTACAAAATAACTGGGCTGTATTCTTCAAAAATGTCAATATAATGAAAGACAACATCAGTCTAAGGAACTGTACCCATATTAAAGAAGACTGAAAAGACATGACAACTAAATGCCATGGATGATCCTGGATTAGATCCTGGACCAAGAAAAAAATCCTTAAAAAGAATATTGTGGAGCAATTGGCAAACTTTGTCTACAGACTGTAGAGTAAATAATGGTATCGCATCAATCTCAGTTTCCTGATATTGATGGTGGCACTATGGTTATGTAAAAGAATGTCCTTGTTTTTAAGAAATTCACAGCAATACATTCACATGTAAAGGGATTATCTTGTGTGCAAAGGACTCTCACATGGTTCAGAAAAAAACACTAATATGTATTTAGAGAAATAATGATAAAGCAGATGTGGTCAAAAGATATCAACCGGTGAATCTGAGTGAAGAGTATCCTGGAATTATTTTTAGTATTTTTGCCCCTCTCCTGTGAATTTTAAATTATTTCAAAATTAAAAAAAAAAAATTTTAATAAAAGAATGGTGCTGGCAAAGCATATTCACGGGCAGGAGAATTCATACACAGGGGATGCCAGGCTGTGGCCCTGGACACCTCAATGCTGGGCTGTGCACAGCTGCTGATGACACTTCCAGCCCCCGGTGACTCTCGGTTCTCTGTGCTACTAGAGGAACACAGTGTGTGGTTGACCCCAAAGTTGTCCTGGGTTGACTCAAGAAGGTAGGACAAGTCAGGGCAATGAATTCTTTTATGGTCTTACTTACTCCAATTTTGAATTCAACTGACATCCCTTGCCTCCCAGGCACCTCTGCTGGTAGGGCCAGACTACAAACAGTGTAGATAATGTTCAGTTATTGTTGATGACAATCTTATACACTCCCCTCCAAAGGAAGGCCAAGATTTCCCCCAAAACCAGCCAGCATCTTTCCCATTCCCCAAAAGGAGAAAATGAAGTCCCCAAGAAGGGCCCAGGAAGGGCCAGCAGCGCCCGGGGTTCCCTCTGACAAGGTTAGTTGTTTGAACTTTTGGAAAGTTGAAGATTCTTGGAGAAGCATCTGTGCCAGCCTGGCAAAACAGTGTTCCCCTGTGGAGGGAGAAATAGGTCTCTCATCAGCCCACACCTCTATTTCCAGGTCCTGACCCTCCCAGGATATAGGGCAGCCACCTTGCCATTCAGAAGCCACATGAACAATAGAAAGGCTAGGATTGCCCGCAGGGGACCCACTAGCCCAGTTCTCCCCTCCTATCACCTGCCCTCCAGCCACAGTATCCTACTTCCCCCCACCTCCCCAGGGGTTGTCAGGGACAGAAGGCCCCTCCCTCGTCCCCCTCAGTGTGCCGGCCTCCACTCCTCCCCCCATCACTAGGGTGTCCAGGACATTGTGCGACTCAGGAAACAGCTCAGACTTGAGGCTTGCAGCAGGCCGAGGAGGAAGAAGGGGCCGTGGGAGCAGAGGAGGTGGCTCCTGCCTCACTGAGGGTTCTGAGGGTCCCTGCCCGAGGAGGCAGAGGGGATCTGGGCTTGGGACTCTGGAATGCAGCCCCCTTTCCTGCTGCTGCTACTGTGTCACTCAGCCATCGGGATTAGAGGTGAGGCATGGAGCAGGAGAGGCAGGGGACCCGTCCTCTGTAGGAGGGTGCCAGTGGGCTGGGAGCAGAGGCCAGGCCCAGAGGTCTGAGGCAGCTGGGTGGAGGAGGTTCTCAGTCCCCACATGGGGCCACCCACAAGGAGCGACGACTCTGCTGCGGGAGCTGCGTGGACCTAGGTTTTGGGCCTGGTGCCAGAGGTGGTGACTGCTGGGGGGATGGGAGAAAGGGTGCCCACCCCAAGGGAGGAGTCGGCTAAGAGCGAAGAGACAGGAGGCTTTTGCAATCATATTTAGGAGAAGAAAGAAAGAATGACCACCTGCTGGGGGAAAAGATGAGAGAGGAGCTGGAGATGGAGACATGGGAAGGTCAAGGGCTCACCAAGTCCCTTTCCCGGTCCAGCTGTCCCCAACCCCCACCCTCCGTGGCTCAGTGCTGGGCCCTTCCGGGAGGAAATCCCTTCAATGTCTCAGCCATTCCCCTCCCAGGAGTCCCCTCCGCCAGCCCTCCTGATCCCTGTTGCCTGTTCCAGGGATGGAGCCTGAGGCTGGACTTGGGCAGCCAGAGAATAAACAGGAAAGGGGGTGGGGATTAGTAGCTGAGAGTTCTGGGATCAGGGGACTGGGGCACAACCACCACGTGGAGACCAGGAACAGGGGTACTAGGCCATGGTGGTTTAGAGCACCTGTGTGGGGTGCTGCAGGCAGGTCCCTCTGCCAGGGGAGGAAATGTGGAGCTTAATGCTCCTGCTCGCATCTCATCCTTGTCTGTATCCCCAGAGCTGCAGTGTGGGAGTTTCCCAGAACCCTGTGCCAACGGAGGCACTTGCCTGAACCTATCTCAGGGGCAAGGGACCTGCCAGTGAGTGTGCCCCATGGGATGGGGAGACTGGGGAGGGAGAACAGGGGAGGGGGAGGGGAGGAAGTGGGTAGGATGGAGAAAGGAGGAGGTGAAGGCCATGAAGGCCGAAGAGGGAGGTGAGAGAGAAGGTGAAGAAAAGCGAGTGATGTGAATTTCCCTCTCTTCTCCCCTGCCCAGGTGCGCCCCTGGCTTCCTGGGTGAGACATGCCAGTTTCCTGACCCCTGCCAGGATGCCCAGCTCTGCCAGAATGGAGGCAGCTGTCAAGCTCTGCTGCCTGCCCTCACAGGCTCCCCCAGTGGCCCCTCTCTCATGGTCCTCAGCTTCTTCTGCACCTGCCCCTCTGGCTTCACTGGTGAGAGGTGCCAGGCCCAGCTCAAGGACCCCTGTTCTTCCTTCTGTTCCAAAATGGGCAGCTGCCACATCCAGGCCTCGGGCCGTCCACAGTGCCTCTGCATGCCTGGCTGGATAGGTGAGCACTGATGGAGGGCGGGTGGCAGGGACAGGCCGGAGCAGTGGGCTGGGCAATGCGGTAGGGAAGATAGAACTGGCATCTGAAAGACTGTGAGCCCTTTGAGGACAGAGGCCCTGAGAATCAACAAGCCAATTCTTAGTGGCCCATTTACCCAGGATTGACGTTCACACGCATGGCTATACTGAGCACTAAAATGCTGAAGTACTGCCAAACCAGCTTGTAACAGTTACTGCCATAGCCCCCTTAGTGCACCACCCTGACCCTTTCCCAGCCCCTTCAACCTCCCCACAAGCCAGTAGTTAGAGGGTGAATGCCTGCACACCAGGAGACCTCTGGGACTCTGCCTTCTAAGCATCTGAATGGCCTCTGAGTGGTGGGAGTCCAAAATATCACCTGGAAAGACTGTAGTGGTGGAAGGTGTGATGGGGTGGGAGAGATCAGACCCAGAGGAATAAGTACCCATGCCAGGCGGAGCGATGCAGCCCTGGGGCAAGAGAGTGGGCACATGATGGGCAGTAGGTGCTCCCCTGAGGAAGTGGTGGGGGTGCCTGTTCCCACCAGAATGGAGGGCACTGGTCCAGGCAGCAAAGGCCACATGGGTAAGAAAGTGCTTAGAATGTGGGAGCCTCTGCAGGGTGGACTAGAGGCAAGGCTTCTTGAACTTGGCTAGGCACAGCATGCCCTGGGAAGCTTTAAAAATACTGGTGCCTGCATCCCAGGGACTGATGTGGTGGGCCTGGGGTGGGACCAGGACATGGAGATTTTTTTAAGTGCCTGAGTAAGTGTGAGAATGCAAGAGACCAGCATGTGTGACAAGAAGGATGGTCGGTGGCAACTTGCCAGGCCCTGCACATCAGAGTAGGAACTCGGGGCACCCCCTACTCCGGTTGTATGCCAAAGACTAGACACGTGGTCTTGCATAAGACACTTAAGCTCTCTGGGTCCTCAGATGTCAACTGACATCCACACTTCATAAGACGAGGAGGGGTGATGCTCAGGAAGTGCTTACTTAGCTCAGTGCCCCCATCACACCGTTGCAGCTGCCTTCCCACTGGTGCACATGGCTGGGAAGTGATCATCCAGACCCTCATACCACCTAGAGGTTAGGAAACCTGGATAAGAGGCCAGACAGCTGCCCAAGGGCACACAGCAAGATGCTAAGTCTCCTGCCTGCAGAGGCCAGATGCCTTTCACCACCACACCAAGGTCACCTCTGAAGGCACGTGGTGTCCCAGATTTTCCCAGGCAGGGCCCATTTGCAAGACTCACATCAACAGCCACATGACTTACTTTCAGTTTGGAAAATTTGGTCACTCTAGATATAACCCTCCCAAGGAATGGCAAAACTGAAGCAGGGGGTGACAGAACAGGGCACAGAGTGACGGAACAGGGCACAGAGGGTATGGGAGGAAAGGGAAGGGAATATGAAAATTAGACACAGAGATGACCTCACTGGTTACCTCAGATGAGCTGAAGTGTGTGCACAGCTACCAACAGCCCCTCTGTCCTCTGCCTCAGGTGAGCAGTGCCAGTTTTGGGACTTCTGCTCGGCCAACCCCTGCGCCAATGGAGGGGCATGTCTGGCCACATACCCCCAGATCCAGTGCCGCTGCCCACCTGGCTTCGAGGGACATGCCTGTGAACACGATGTGAACGAGTGTTTCCTGGACCCGGGACCCTGCCCCAAGGGCACCTCCTGCCACAACACCCTGGGGTCCTTCTGGTGTCTCTGCTCCCCTGGGCGGGAGGGCCCACCCTGTGGGCTCCAACCAGGGCCTTGCCCCACCAGGGGCTGTTTTAATGGGGGCACCTGCCAGCTGGTTCCAGGGAGGGACTCCACCTTCCACCTGTGCCTCTGCCCCCCAGGTGCGTCCTCACCGGGGCCTCTTGCAGCCTCTCTCTCTGGGTGGGGTGGTGCCCCTCCCTCAGCTGATCTCGTGACCTGTCAGGTTTCACAGGCCTGGACTGTGAGATGAATCCAGACAACTGTGTCGGCCACCAATGTCAGAATGGGGCCACTTGCCAAGATGAGCTGGACACCTACACCTGCCTCTGCCCAGAGGCCTGGACAGGTGCGTCGTTTATGCCAAGTTAGTGGCAGCAGTGGCCCAGATGGTCAGCCCCTGGCCTTCCCTCCCCATGGGGCTCCCAGCTCCAGCCCTTGTCCCCTTCCCATACCCCACAGGCTGGGATTGCTCTGAAGATGTGGATGAATGTGAGGCCCAGGGTCCCCCTCGCTGCAGAAATGGGGGAACCTGCCAAAACTCGGCTGGTGGCTTCCACTGCGTGTGTGTGAGTGGCTGGGGAGGGACAGGCTGTGAGGAGAACCTGGATGACTGTGTCGCTGCCACCTGTGCCCCAGGAGCCACCTGCATCGACCGTGTGGGCTCCTTCTCCTGCCTCTGCCCACCTGGCCGCACAGGTGTGACACAGAGGGAATGGGGAGGCATGAGGTGGGACGGGGAGCAGGAGGTGAGAAGCACCAGGAGAGTGGCTGGGAGCTTCAGGGGCCTCTGAGCACCTCTTCCCGCCACGCCCCAGGCCTCCTGTGTCACATGGAGGACATGTGTCTGAGCCAGCCGTGCCACAGGGAAGCCCAGTGCAGCACCAACCCCCTGACAGGATCCACACTCTGCCTGTGTCAGCCTGGCTACTCAGGGCCCACCTGCCATCAGGACCTGGACGAGTGTCAGATGGGTGAGGTGCCCCCACATCAGATCCTCTCTGAGCCCCTAGACAGTCACTGCACTGAGGAGAGAAGCAGGCAGATTGTTTTTCAAGTTAGAAATATAAAGATCTCTTCTTCCCAAATGTGTCCAGGTTTGGCATTTCTTCCCCCCCACCCAGCACTCTCATCACTGCTCAGCTGTACAGGCCTCACTTTGTCTTTTTCCATCTTAAAGACACAGACCTTTTCCCCGGTTTGGTCTCTTCTGCCATGAACAGGCCACCATGCTTTCTCTACAGTCTGGCCTCCTTGCCTTTCTACCCCTGACCTGGGGGACTTCCGGCTCTTCTCTCCTCCCAGCCCAGCAAGGCCCCAGTCCCTGTGAGCACGGCGGCTCCTGCCTCAACACCCCCGGCTCCTTTGACTGCCTCTGTCCCCCTGGCTACACGGGCTCCCGCTGTGAGGCTGATCATAATGAGTGCCTGTCCCAGCCCTGCCGCCCTGGTAGCACCTGCTTGGACCTGCTCGCCGCCTTCCACTGCCTGTGCCCACCAGGTACCGGATGGATGGGGCCTTGGGTAGAGGAGGCAGAGGACTAATCCTGAACCCACTGGGCATGACCCCTACAGACCATAGACAGCCTCAGGCCAGGTGGCGTCAGTTACCAAACAATGCTTCTCCTCTTCTCCCTGCTGCCTAGATGAAAACTCTGGGAAACCCACAGTCCCTAGGAGAAGGGCTGCCACAGATGGTAGTGAGGTTGTGCACTGCTCAATTCTGGCAATGAGGGGAAAGCATTCATTTCATAGTCATAGAGTACACGACTTGACCCACTGTGCACAAAGGCCCATCAAGGGAGAGCAGGACTGCTGTTATTAAACTTCATGCTACAGCCTCTGTTCATGCCAACCCAGAATGCTCCTCCTAATCACAGAGACTCTCACCTGTGAGTAAACCCTTAGAATTCCAAAGGGCCTGTGTGCTTGAATTTGGTACAACAGAAAAGGATTGCTGCAAGGCTGCACTGATGTCCAAGCCAGGTTTAAGGGAGAAAAGTCTCCCCAGGGAAATAGCAACAGAGCCACTATCAGAGAGCTGAATGAAACCACAAACATAGCTTACTTTGTGCCAGGTACTGCCTGAGAATCTTACATGCATTATCTCGTCTTTACAATAACCCTATGAGGTCAGCATTGTTACTATGCCCATTTTATAAATGAAGAAACTGAGGCACAGAGAGGTTAAGAGACTTGTCTAAGGGCACCCAGCTAGAAAGTGGCAGAGCCAGGATTCAGATCCAGGACTTTAATAGTTTTAACCTCTACACTACACAACCTTCCTAAACTGAGCCACATCCAAGGGAAAATGCTGAGAAAACCGTGCAGTGATCCAAGGGACAATGTTGTGGATATCTAGGAACTTCAGAGGCTGGCTCCCCAGGCAAGAAGAGGGAGGCAGCCGAGGTCTGGAAGCTGATCCAGCTTCAGTTCAGGGTGAGGCAGTGGAAACCGGGACAAGCCCAAAGACACGGGACAAACATGCAAGCAACAGCTCTCCAAATGTGCCCCTTGCAGGTCCCTGATGTCCCCGTCCAGGTAGAACAAGAGGATAAAGCACCTCCAAGCAGGGGCCCATTGTCTCATTTGTATCTTAAGGACCAGCAGACTGATCAGCCCTACTGGTGGGCCCCACCTTCTGTGCACAAAGGAATGGCCCCAAAGGCACTTCCTCACAGTGCCCACCACCACCACCACAGGTCCCAGCAGGGGCCCTGCTTCTGAGCTTTCACAGCTGAATGGGGCAGAGCCACACACAGCAGAGCAGCAGGGCCTAGGGGTTCATCTCTCCAACCCACCAGCAGACAGCACCCTGGGAAGTGGCAGGGCTGGTGCTAAAACCTGGGCCTCCTGGTCAGAAGGGGCCAGCAGCCAGGTCAGGACCAGCCTGGCTGAGCCTCACCCCCACTACACCTCTGTGTCGTCAGGCTTAGAAGGACGGCTCTGTGAGGTGGAGATTGATGAATGTGCCTCAGCTCCTTGCCTGAACCAGGCTGACTGCCACGACCTGCTCAATGGCTTCCAGTGTGTCTGCCAGCCAGGTGAGTGCAGCTTCCACTGGGCACCTTCAGCCCTCAGGCATCCAAACCTCCACAGCTGAGGCCCTGCAATAGCAGAAGTCTCTTGAAGCACTCTTTAGCCTGACCAAGGAGGCCCCAATTTCTCCAAATCCTCTGCCCCCCAAACTCTTGTCTACCCCCAAATCTTCCCTTGCTTACCCACCCTCATCTCTGTCCTGCTAAGTCACCCAAGCATCCGTCCTTTCCAGCCCCACTTCAGAGTCCTCTGTCTGCTCACCCTGAGTGTCAGGGGGTTCAGGCTGGTCTTGGCACCGCTTGCCATGGATGCAGAGAAAGCTGCCCCAGGCCTCCCTTCTCCAGCTTCACTGAGCATCCTCTGCTGCCTGTTACGATGACAACTGACGGTTACTGGATATTTACTCCAGGCCAGGCACTTGACTATGTGCTTTCCATGCATTATCTTGTTTAATCCTTTCAATGGTACCATGAGGTAGGTTCCATTATTACTCCCCTTCTACGGAGGAGGAAAGTAGAGCCTAGAGAGGCTGAGTAACCTGCCAAAGTCACACAGCTGGCAGGTGGCTGAGCTTCAGCTCTTCTGCATCAACTTCCCATCATCTCCACCTGCCCTAGATGTCTCCTCTGGAAAGCCCTCCAGGTTCACCTTTCTTGACTGAGGGGAAGGGCCAGCATGTGTTTTTATACTTTTGATACAATGTATTTTCAGCATTAGTACACATATCCATTTACCTTGTTTATATGAAATTATACTGTTATGGCCTGAAACTCACATTGCTGTTTGAGAAGCCCCCCAAATTAGTGCCTTCATTATATAAGACTACATTTAGATAAAACCCTAAATCAAGCCATTTGAAACAAGATTCTCTTCATTGCAATTTGTTAGCAGTGTTACTTCTGTGGAGTAAAGAGAAGGCTCAATATCAGTGTTGACTTAATTTCTTATTTGAATTCATGAAATCGGGTCTGTAAAGCTGTCAGACATTTGTAACAAACCCCCTAATCTAGAGAAAGTTAGATTTAAAAAAAGATGACCTTCAGCATCTCTGGCACTCATTCCCCGCCCAGGATTCTCCGGCTCCCAGTGTGAGGAGGACAGCGACGAGTGTGGAAGCTCTCCCTGTGCCAATGGCGGGCGCTGCCAGGACCAGCCTGGATCCTTCCATTGCGAGTGTCTCCCAGGTGAACTGGAGCTCAGACGCTGGAGGGAGAGTGGCCGGGGGCGGGGTCAAAAGGCCGACTTCCGCCCCCTGACCCTCCAGCTGCGCCACAGGCTTTGAAGGCCCGCGCTGCCAGGCAGAGGTGGACGAGTGCCTGAGAGGCCCGTGCCCTGTGGGAGCCAGCTGCCTTGACCTCCCAGGAGCCTTCTTTTGCCTCTGCCCAGCAGGCTTCACAGGTCAGCAGGGGAGGTGCTGGAAAGGACTGGCGGGGTATTTGAGTCCATCTGGGGGGAAGCAGCGGTCACTGTTGGGCGCTGGAGGGTTGGGATGTGAGAATAGAATGAGAATGGAACGCCTCAAAGTTATTCAGTGCAGAACGTGCCCAACCACAGGGTTGAGGGCCAGTGTCACCATAGGGCCCACACTGGGACCATTGTGAATGGTGTGATTCGGGTCAGGAGCAGAAGACAGGGTTCAAAGGGCAGCCATTCACTTGCTTGCTTACTTAGCAAGCATTTATTAAGTGCCTACTATGGCAAACACAGATGCAAAATTGAATAAGAGAGTTGCTATTCTCAAGTGGCTTTAAATCTAGTGCAGAGACCAACAAGTCTCTTATTGCTTATGGCGCAGAGAGAACCTCCGAGAAAGGGATGCACAGGACCCTATAGGAGCTCAAAGGACCAACCAACGAGACAACAGATGAGAAGGCTTCATGGAGAAGCCGATGGCTGAGCTGAGTCTTAAAGAATGAGTAGGAGTTTGTAAAAATAGAAAGCTAGACAGTGCGTATTAGCTGCTGATAACTGCCTGTTCAAAGGTGCAGAGGGAAGAAAAGCATGTCCCACGTAAAGAATGGCAGGCAGGATATCCAGAGCTTAGCGTACAAAGCGACAAAGATGAGAAACACAGTAGTTATAAGAAAATCACATCATGCAGGCCCCCAGGTATCATTCCAAGGCAGTTGGACAGTGTCCTGAGGCATTAGGGAGCCAGTGAAGGACAGCGCTCCTGGGAGTGCCATGTCATGCACAAGCAGTGGCCATGGCCCATCAAGGACTTGGAGGAACTCTGTTTTCTCTCTGACCCATCTCCCCACCCCAGGTAATCTCTGTGAGGTCCCCTTGTGTGCCCCTAACCTGTGCCAGCTCAAGCAGAAGTGCCAGTACGAGGAGGACAAGGCCCACTGTCTCTGCCCCGATGGAAGTCCTGGCTGTGCTCCCCCTGAGGACAGCTGTGCCTGCCACCATGGGCACTGCCAGAGGTAACGTCCTCCAGGCCCTGCCTCACTGCACTCTCCTCCCAGTCCTCCGAGGACAGCCACTGAGGCGGGAGGCTGTGGGAAATGAGCAACAGGGAACAGCAAGGAGGTGGCAGAGTTCTGAGGTCACAGCCGCTGGGAGTGCTCGACTGGTGGGTGCTATGCAGCGAAGGGAGTGTTCAAAAGTAACGGGAGGACTCGGGGGTCAGAGCAAAAGGAAGCGCACTAAATCCTAGGGCCAATTCTTATTTGTTAGACAAACACTTGCTAAGCATCTTCTATGTGCGGATAGTTTTCTGTGCCCTGGGGAACTGCATGGAACAAAAGAGACAGTGTCTGCTCACATGGAGCTTTCATTCTAATGAGGGAAGACAGACAATACACAGTTAGAGAAGGAATATATGTATATCTACTTGGACAAAAGGAGCAGGGGCTGGGAGGATAAAAGGGGGACAATGCTGAGAGCAAAGGCACTGAAGACAAGGGCCAGAGACTCAGGGCCAGAGGAAGAGGTCATAGGATTCTGACCAGCAGGGAAGGGAGAAGAGAAAAACGCTAGAGGAACATCCTCCCCTTTTCTTTATGACTAGATCATCATGTGTGTGTGACATGGGTTGGACAGGACTGGAGTGTGAGGCTGAGCTGGGGGGCTGCATCTCCATGCCCTGTGCCCATGGGGGGACCTGCCAACCCCAGCCCTCTGGCTTCAACTGCACCTGCCCCACAGGCTACACAGGTGAGGCCCTCCCCCAGACCACATATACCCTGGGCTGACCACCCTCTACTTCAGGGGCAAGGCCAGTGGAGACCGGTGCCCCAGGGCTCTGGGTCTCAGCCACCACCAAGGAGAACCGGCATGGGCTGCAGGGGACACAGACATTGTGCTTCTTACACAGGTGGTGAGAAAAGAGATTGGTTGGGAGAGAACCTCTTTCAGGGATGCAGATGAGGAAAGGAAGGGAAGGGATAGGGAAGGGACAGGGAAGAGGAGGGAGAGGAGAGAGAAGAAAGGAGGATTCCCCTTCTCAGACAGCATTCGCCTCCCAGGGCCCAGTTGCAATGAGAAGGTGACAGCTTGTCACTCAGGGCCCTGTCTCAATGGCGGCTCCTGCAGCCCCAGCCCTGGAGGCTATGCCTGCACCTGCCCCCCGAGCCACACTGGGCCCCGCTGCCAGACCAGCACTGACCACTGTGCCTCTGGTGAGTGGCCACCATGTCCTAGGGCTGGGCACAGCAGGATGGAGATGCTGTTGAGGGGGTGTTTGTGCATGCTGCAAAGAGTTCAGTGGATGCAGTGAGCTGTTGTTTTGACTGGGGGGCAAGGGGGTTTTTCCTGCATGCAGTGTGACTGAGGTCGAGGCAGGTTATAGGCAAAGAACCCAACCCCTCACAGCCTCCTCTTTCCAGCCCCATGCCTCAATGGGGGTACCTGTGTGAAAAGGCCTGGCACCTCCTCCTGCCTCTGTGCCATGGGCTTCCAGGGCCCACGCTGTGAGGGGAAGGTCCATCCCAGCTGTGCAGACAGGTGAGCAGGGCACAGAGGCCCCCAGAGGAAGGGAGGGAGTTCTCAGCCTGCCCCCCTTCCTCTCTGCCTTCTCTGGGGCTCCCACCCCACATCTGTCCTTTTGCTCTCCCTTCCTTCCTGGTTCCCCTGCTCCCCAGTGGCTGCCTCCCCAGCACATCACTCCCTCCCACTGGGTTCCCTGGGCCTTCCTCCTCCTATGCCCTGTCTCTGTCTTGTCCAGCCCCTGTAGGAACAGAGCAACCTGCCAAGATGGCCCTCAGGGTCCCCACTGCCTCTGCCCCCCTGGCTACACAGGAGGCAGCTGTCAGGTGAGGGGCACTGAGCCAGGCACGCTGAGGAGGGAGGTGTTTGAGGGCTCCAGCAAGAGGGTCTTGGATACTGACAGGTGGGCCTAGGAAGCTTGGGAGAGGTATAGCAGGAAAGGGGGCTTGCAAACCTAAGAGCTGAGGTCTAGCTTGAGGTTAGTATGGAGTTGAAGGACTGAAATGATTTCTGATCCCAGGGACTATCCTGGGATGTGGGTACCACGGGAAACCGGGGAGGGTCACCTGGCCCCAGGCCATTCAGGAGAGGCTTTTAGAGGTAGGGATTTTGAGGAACTGGCAGAAGACCATCTGTGGGCCTGGGAACCTAATGTTCTGTCCTGCCTCATGCTCCCTCCCAACGCTCAGGCTCTGCTAGACTTATGTGCTCAGAAGCCCTGTCCGCACAATTCCCACTGCCTCCAGACTGGGCCCTCCTTCCAGTGCCTGTGCCTCCCAGGATGGACTGGGCCTCTCTGCAACCTTCCTCTGTCCTCCTGCCAGACGGCAGCTCTGAGCCAAGGTACCAACCCAAGGACAGACTGGGGGACAGATGAAGAGAAAAAGAGGTGTTCTCCTCTACCCCATCCCTAAAGGCATCCACACACAACATTTGGCCAAAACAGCCAACTGAGAGTTGAAGCCACCGAGACCAACCACAGTCACTGATTCTGAGCTCAACACCCAGGACAGCCCAACGCAGTTCAGCTCCTATTACCAGTCATCATAAATCAAACAACGCCAAGCAGCACAGACAACAGCACTCTAGCCAAGGACAGCCACCAGGGACATAGCTCAGTGTGAAGCAGCTCAACTCTGTAACTGTCATCATAAGCCAATTAGAATGGCCACATTTAGCCCAACTACACTCACCACATTTTGCCATGTCCCACTCACCATGATGTCAGGTCAACACCCTTATGAAAGAATCCTCCCTTTATCCAAATGAGGTTTGGTGTTTAATATGGGAAGAGCTCAGGAAGAGAGATTATTACAGGGTTAGGGGATCGTTGATGGGGATCACAGTGAGAGAACATCAGTGTGCAAACTCAGGGGACAGACTTAGGCCATTAACGAAGCCACGTGCCCCCACCTGAAGTTTCTCTTGAGGTCTTGCTTGCTTGAGATTTGTTTTAAGCCAAGAATACAGTTGCTTATGATGTTGTAATAAGCTTCAGAAGTATCCTCTCCCTTCCAGCAGAACAGGCAGGAGGGAGGGACTTGATGTTTTAACTTTTTCAGCATCAGGAGTTACTGACTCCTCAGACTCTGAGGGGCTGCCACCCCCACCCACTCCCAGAGATGTTAGTGCCTCAGTAGCCTCTCTGCTCAGTGTCTGGGGCCCCTGACTTAGCTTTATCTACCCCTGTTTGTCTCTCCCCTCAGCCATGGAAGTCTCTTCCCTGTGCCAGAATGGAGGCCTCTGCATCGATAGCGGCCCCTCCTATTTCTGCCACTGCCCCCCTGGATTCCAAGGCAATATATGCCAGGACAGGGTGAATCCATGTGAGTTCAAGCCCTGCCAGCATGGAGGTACCTGCACAGTCCAGTCTAATGGGTATTTCTGCCAGGTGAGTGGGTCTAGAGGAGATCAGGGAAGGGAGACAAGGGTGGGAAACAGGAGTCGTGGTAGGTGGGGAGGGGGCAGTGATGTATCCATTTCCCTTTCCTTTACCCTAAACCACCAAACAACCATTGAGTCATAACATTTTACCTCCTAATCTCAAATCAGTCCTTTCCCTTTCCCCTTCACCCCACTGCCTTAGGCCTTTGTTGCATTCCACCTGGACACCTGCATCAGCCTCTTAACTACCCCCTGCCTCCACACTTTCCTCCTCTAGGTTTAGCCTTTACTCCACCCTCAGGGTGCTCCGTTGCAAACGTTAAGCTGACCTGTCTTAAAACCCCTGCTTAAAACCCTTCAGTGGCTGCCCACCTCTGTTACTAAAAACAGCTATGTTTAGTGGCAACATGTCCTAGAGATTGTTTGGAACTGGGGAGGGATTAAGCTGCGAGGTATTGAACCCTTGTGTTTCGTGTGGAGTGAGATAGAAGGCTTAAGCTACATGTGGCCAAGATGAATGGTGAGTTGAGTGATGGTGTGAGGTGGAAGGTGGAGGGCTGGGAAGACACTCTCAAGCTAGATCCCTTGGAGTGCTGGGATGGGCTATTTACTGGCTCCCTGTCTGACCCTCTTTGCCTGCAGTGTGTCCCAGGCTACAGTGGACAGAACTGCTCAAAGGAATCTGATGCTTGTCAATCCCAGCCCTGTCACAACCATGGGACCTGTACCCCCAAACCTGGAGGCTTCTACTGCACTTGCCCACCAGGTTTTGTGGGGCTGCGCTGTGAGGGGGATGTGGATGAGTGTCTGGACCAGCCCTGCCACCCTTCAGGCACAGCAGCCTGCCACTCTCTGGCCAATGCCTTCTACTGCCAGTGTCTACCTGGACACACAGGTGAGGCCTGGGATGTGGGCCACAGGCATCTCTGGGGCACAGCTGAGCTGACCATGGAAACCCAGACAATCTCCACCCATGAGGCAGCCTTGTCATCTTGTCCATCGCCCTGCCTCCATGCCCACGTCAAAGAATATATGCCCCAGCATCCCTTTGCTGCACAGCTAGTGCTAGGACAACTCCCAGGAACGAACTGGTGAGGAGGCAGTGACTGAAGCAGTGGGTGACATCTAACGCCACCCCTACCACAGGCCAGTGGTGTGAAGTGGAGATAAACCCCTGCCAGAGTCAGCCCTGCTCCCATGGAGGGTCTTGTGAGGCCATAGCAGGACCACCTCCAGGTTTCACCTGCCACTGCCCCCAGGTGAGTGATCGCAAAGCTGACTTTTCTGCTGCCCTCAGCGTGAAAATGCCTAAATTAGGAGGCAGCCAGAGGCATATTACAGTGGGAATTATTGGAGAAAACCATCCCTGTTCACAGTGGTGAGTGGCTCTCAGAAGCAGTCAGCAGCGGGGTTGGGAGGCAGGATCAGGTTGGTACTATGAATGGAATTTTCAGAAGTCAAAGGCATTGCCTAAGAGAAGGTAGCCGAGGTCAAGCGGGGTAAACTTGGATAAGTTCTTTTAACTGTGTCGGGCGGCAGGTGTGGGGTGAGGGAAAGGGTGAGTGCTTATCGATCTCAGATCTCAGATACATGAAACTGGGTTAATTGTAAGCTTTAGCTCATAGCACACTAACATCATAGGTCTGTGCATGGTGGTTTTTTATTTTAATTTCTTATAATGTAACACCCATGAACCTGACCCAAGAATTACATTACTAATAATTTACAAGTACTTATGTCCTCCTCTGTCCTGTTACTCTCCAGAGGAAAAAAGAGTATATAATCCTATCTGCAAGGATTACAGTCATATTAGTTCAACTGATACTGCTCTTTAACTGTTTAGCCTTCTAAGACTAGGATCATGATACTACAATTCATCCAGGTTGTTGAACAAAATTGCTGTTTGTCCATTTTCACCATGTAATATGACATTGTGTGAAAAACCACAGGACGTGGTTTCAACATCTGTAAAATGATGGATTTGATGTTCTCTGAGGCCCCTTCTAGATATGAAAAATCTAGGACCCTCTGGTTTATATTAGCCTAGAAGTTTGCTTGAGAGGAAGTGGGAAGAATAATACAAGGTCCTTCCCTGACATCTCTCCTCCTCTCCACAGGGTTTTGAAGGCTCCACTTGCAGCCAAAGAGCCCCTTCCTGTGGCGTCTATTACTGCCACCATGGTGGCCTGTGTCTGCCTGCTTCCAAGCCTGGCTTCCCACCCCGCTGTGCCTGCCTCAATGGCTATGGGGGCCCTGACTGCCTGACCCCACCTGCTCCACAAGGCTGTGGCCCTCCTTCTCCATGCCTACACAATGGCAGTTGCTCAGAGACTCCCGGGTTGGGTGGCCCAGGCTTTCGATGCTCCTGCCCTCCCAGCTCTCCAGGGCCCCGGTGTCAGAGGCCAGGAGCAAAGGGATGTGAAGGCAGAGGTGGAGATGGGGCCTGCGACGCTGGCTGCAGTGGCCCAGGAGGAAATTGGGATGGGGGGGACTGCTCTCTGGGGGTCCCAGACCCCTGGAAGGGCTGCCCCTCCCACTCCCGGTGCTGGCTTCTCTTCCGGGATGGGCAGTGCCACCCGCAGTGTGACTCTGAAGAGTGTTTGTTTGATGGCTACGACTGTGCCATTCCTCCAGCCTGCACGTGAGCCTGATACCCTGACTTGGGGGTGGGAGGCAGGGTGAAGGCTGGAGGAAGGGTATACAGATGCCTCTGAGTGACAGTGTGACCACAGCCTCACACCCCAGGGAGTTTCCACCTAATAACTTTTGCTAAGTAAAGGTAAAAGATGCTAGACTCCAACCCAGAGGGACAGAGCAGTTTCAGTATTTAAAGTGAAGGCCAAGAAAGAGAGACTGCCTCTGTCTGGGCTCCTCTCCCACAGTTGTGCAACCTCTGGCCTCAAGCCTTTCTAAGCCCTGGTCATGGAGTATCTCCCATAACAACCAGTGCCCCTCAGGGAAAAAGGCCTTGGACTCACCTTCAAGGAGACAGGAGAGTTTGGGAGGGCAGGGAGAGAGATGGTCTTAGGATACAAGGGTGTCAGTAGATATCAAGAGTGTCTGGACTGCCTACCACCCAGGGCCTGCTAAGCCCAATGCTCTGGAGCTGCCCCCACTTAACAGCCAATGTCCCAGAGACTATGGAGTATCAGGAATCCTCCCTGGGAAGAAGGGAGTCAGATGTCTTTGGGGGTCCTGAGTCCCTCTTTCCTACCCCACAGTCCAGCCTACGACCAGTTCTGCCGTGATCACTTCCACAATGGGCACTGTGAGAAAGGCTGCAACACTGCAGAATGCGGCTGGGATGGGGGTGACTGCAGGCTCGAAGATGGGGATTCAGAGTGGGGGCCCTCCCTGGCCCTGCTGGTGGTGTTGAGCCCCCCAGCCCTGGACCAGCAGCTGCTTGCCCTGGCCCGGGTGTTATCCCTGACCCTGAGGGTGGGGCTCTGGGTGAGGAAGGATAATGATGGCAGGGACATGGTGTACCCCTATCCTGGGGCCCAGGCTGAAGAGGAACTAGGAGGAACTCCAGACTACTCTTATCAGGAGAGAGCAACCCCTCAACCACAGCCTGTGGGCAAGGAGACAGACTCCCTCAGCACTGGGTAAGGAAGCTGGACAGGAGGGCTAGCCAGACGCTAATTTTTTAACAGAGGGAAGGGAGCCAGGAACTAACACAGGGGTCTCTGAGGTGCCTCCCCACAGGTTCGTTGTGGTGATGGGTGTGGATTTGTCCCACTGTGTCCCTGACCACCCTGCAACCCGCTGTCCCTGGGACCCTGGGCTCCTGCTCCGCTTCCTTGCTGCAATGGCCGCAGTAGGGGCCTTGGAGCCCCTATTGCCGGGACCCCTGTTGGCTGCCCACCCTCGTGCAGGCATGGGTAGGTGACCCCATCATTTCCCCTGATTTTGCTCCCAGATCAGCTTTCATGCCAGCAACCAGCAATAGAGTCAAATGAAACTGGATCACTGGGGCTCCAAAGAGACTTACCCTTGTTAACCTCTTTTTCTGACCGGATATCCTCATGGCACATTTGCTCTGCAATCTCCTTATTTCCCTAAGCACTTTATCCTCACCTCAATCACAGACTTCCCACAAACCTTGGGTTGGGTCTATCCTCACTTCTAGACCAAGAATGTCCAAGCATCCCTGTATCTAACAGCTCATAGTGCATGAAAGAATAACAACTCTTATATATAGCATTACTGTGCACCAGGCCTTGATCTAAGTGCTTTCCAGTATTAACTGGTTTAGTGCTCTCAGCAAACCCATGAGGCAGGTTCTATTATTATTCCCACTTTACAGATGAGGGAACTGAGGCAAAAAGACATGACTGCACTTGCCCAAAGGTCTCACCAGGAACGGTCTCTCTGTGTGACTATGTCTCTCCCTCCAGCACCCCCCACCAACCAGTTTCCTTGGCCTGTGCTGTGGTCGCCAGTGGCCGGGGTGCTTCTCCTGGCCCTTGGGGCTCTTCTCGTCCTCCAGCTCATCCGGCGCCGCCGCAGAGAGCATGGGGCTCTCTGGCTGCCGCCTGGGTTCACTCGAAAGCCTCGGACTCAGCCAGCTCCCCGCAGACGCCGGCCCCCCCTGGGCGAGGACAGCATAGGCCTCAAGTGAGAGTGAGAAGGAACCAGGTTCAGGCAGGGGACCCTTTCCTGTGGAGAGATTTATGATCAGAAGCAAGAAGAGATGCTATAGCAGAAGTTGCGGCACAGGAAGGGGAGGGGGAAAGGAAGGCTGTGTAAATCTTGGGGTCCCTGAAGGTCCTCTATTCACACCCACCCACTTTCAGGGCACTGAAACCAGAGGCAGAAGTTGAGGATGGAGTTGTGATGTGCCCTGGCCCCGAGGAAGGAGAGGAGGTGGGCCAGCTGAAAGCCCTGGGGCAGGAATGGCCCCGAGGTGATGGAGGGGTTGAAGGGACAAGTAAAGCTTCCTTCACTGATCCTTGTTCTGATCCCCAAGCCTGAAGAAATGTCCTCACCCTCCAAGTGTCAGCTCTGGCCTCTGAGCGGTGACTGTCAGGAGCTCCCCCAGGCAGCCATGCTGACTCCTCCCCAGGAATCTGAAATAGATGTCCCTGATGTGGACACCCGTGGACCTGGTACGTGAGCCAACTCAGACCCAGAAAATGAAAACTCCCTTTGACCCCTTTAGAATAGAAAGTCTTTTGATATTAAAACTGGAAAACCTGACATCAGAGTTAGTGCCTTAAAACAGTGATTCTCGAAGTATGATCTTAGAAGAATCAGCATCACCAGGGAAACTTAGAAATACAAATTCTTGGTTCCACTCCAGAGCGACTGATTCAGAAATTCAAAATACTGGGGAATCTGTTTTAAGAAACCCTCTAGGTGAGTCTGATGCAGATTCAAGTTTGACAGCCACTGCCCTAAAATGTTGGAGAATTAAGGGCTGCAGGCTCCTTTTAAAGATGAAAATAAAACCCAGAAAATGTAGAAAAATCACTTGACTAAAGCCATACAAAATCAAAAACCAGAGCTGGTGTTCCTGACACCACAAACTGAGATTCTCTCTGAGCCTCCCTGCTCTCCCCCTCCCCCAGTTAAGTCCTTTTGATTGACTTGTCTCCCATTCCTCATGTCTCCCACCCACAGATGGGGTGACTCCTCTGATGTCAGCAGTCTGCTGTGGGGGAGTGGAGTCCAGGACCTTCCAGGGGGCATGGCTGGGAAGCCCTGAGCCCTGGGAACCTCTGTTGGGTGGAGGGGCCTGTCCCCAGGCTCACACTGTGGGCACTGGGGAGACCCCCCTACACCTGGCTGCCCGATTCTCCCAGCCAACTGCTGCCCGCCGCCTCCTTGAGGCTGGAGCCAACCCTAACCAGCCAGACCGAGCAGGGCGCACCCCCCTTCATACTGCTGTGGCTGCTGATGCTCAGGAGGTCTGCCAGGTGAGTACACACTGGGGTTGATAAAGGCAATGGGACAAACTTGCAAGTAACGCTGGGTAGACATCCCCTAGGGTTTGGCAAAGAGGAAGGTGATGTGAGATTGGGGACCTTTAAAAGGGAAACAACAGATGGGTGAATGTGGATTGGGAGGTGGCTGTGTGAAGGACCTAAGCTAGGAGTCCAAGACATACCAGGGGTCACTGGCCCTCTCTGGTCCCCCAGCTCCTACTCCACAGCAGACAGACTGCAGTGGATGCGAGGACAGAGGATGGGTCTACAGCCCTGATGCTGGCTGCCAGGCTAGCAGTGGAGGATCTGGTTGAAGAACTGATTGCAGCCCAAGCAGATGTGGGAGCCAGAGATAAATGGGGTATGGATCTAGGGAGGTTGAAATTGTGCTACAAAGAAATTGAGTAGATGGGGAGTTAAGATAAAATACAAAAAAAGGAAGCAAGCAGCAGGGGCCTTGGAGGCTGGGGGAGTCCATCCCACCCTGCTGTCGAGGTTGGGTAAACCTGCCGTTTAGTGGCAGCACAGAGCACGTGAGTGTTCGCGCATCATCCTCAGCCACATCCACACACAGCCCTAGTTCCACTGCAAACTAGGATGCAGGAGTGTCTGTGAGAAGGGGGAGGAGTCTCGTCCGGGGAGGTGGTCTCCCGGTCCCACCGACCCCAGAACAATGCCCCATTGTCCCCTCTGCACGCCGGTGACGTCACCAGAGGCAAAGCTTTCTGCCGGCTGGCGGTCACCCAGACAACGCTTCCGCTTCTGAGGGACCTGGCCGGCCCAAGCAGTCCTTTCCCCAAGACCAGAATCCGTGGGAAACAGGAACCCGGGCATCGGGCCCCCAGCCTCAGGGTAACAACTTCTCACGTCGTCCACTAGGAAAAACCGCGCTGCACTGGGCCGCCGCTGTGAACAACGCCCGGGCCGCCCGCTCCCTCCTCCAGGCCGGAGCCGATAAAGACGCCCAGGACAGCAGGGTTAGGCCGGGTAGCAGGATCGCCATCAGAAAAAAAAAAAGTGGGAGCGGGAGACGTGGAAAGCGCGGGAACACACAAAGCCCATAGGGGCGGGGCCCGCAGCCCAGCAGGCGGAGTTAGAGAGAGCCAGTCCTATGTGCGTGGCCATCTCTGACCTCGTCCCTTGACTGTTTCCTCCGGCGCAGGAGCAGACCCCACTGTTCCTGGCGGCCCGAGAGGGGGCGGTGGAGGTGGCCCAGCTGCTGCTGAGTCTGGGGGCTGCCAGAGGACTGCGGGACCAGGCTGGGCTAGCGCCCGGGGATATCGCCCGCCAGCGCAACCACTGGGATCTGCTGACGCTGCTGGAAGGAGCGGAGCCACCGGAGGCGCATCACAAAGCCACGCCGGGCCGTGGAGCGGAGGCCTTCCCGCGCGCGCGGACCGCGTCGGGCAGCGCTCCCCAACGCGGTGGCGGGGCTCTGCAGCGCTACCGTACGCTGTCAGCCGGAGCAGGCCCGCGTGGGAGCAGAGCATGTCTGCAAGCGCGGACTTTGTCCGTAGACTTGGCCGCGCATGGGGGCGGAGCGTACTCGCATTGCCGGAACCTATCGAAAGGAGGGGCAGGAGGAGGCCCGCCCTCCCGTGGTCATCGGTGTTCTGCAGGCATGCGCGGTGCTCGGCCCAACCCTGCGTTAGTGCGAGGAAGATACGGGGTCGCGGCCGGAAGCGGGGGTGTGGCTTCAGCTGACGATTGGCCCTGCGATTGGGTGGCCCAGGGAGCCTGCGATCCTACCTCCAATACTCCGATCCCGCCTCCTTGCCTTACTCCCTCCCCGGAGAGAGGATCCCCTCAAGTTGCCTGGGCTCCCCCAGTCCACCAACTATTACCTTTAAATGCGGGAGGCGAGGGTCAAAAATAGAAGGCTACGTGGCAGGGAGGGATTCTAAAAGAGTACAGGCAGGCAGTCTGGACGGCCTCCATTTTTTAAATCCTGGAGTCCCGTTGGTGGGGGTCACGTGTCCCTCCCAAAATGAGTGTGTACCCACTCAGAATCGTCATCTTCCACGTGGAGAAGCTGTAACACTGGAAAGCGGGTTTAGGGTGCTGGGATGAAGCGAGCCCAGCCCTCAGAAAGTAAGAGTGAGGGACTACAGGAGGGTGGTCTACGGTGGGGGAACTAACTGAACTGGAATCAAGAACTGCAGACATACAGGATGTTATAAGATGTTCTTTCCTGTATATGGTTTCTAAAGGAAGCGTGTACTACCCGTCACCCCCAGTACCCACAAACGACTAACAAGTATTTATTGAGCACCTACTGTGTGCCAGGCACTGTGTAGGTGCTGAAGAGGTTGGGGGGTGCCAAGGGCCACTCCAGCTGATGATTCCTTGCATTCCCCCACCCCAAACAAACCACGGCAAGGATGAAGCACCCGTTTTCTAGCTACCATTCTATTTAAGAGCTCCAAATCTGTCACCCTCTAATAAAGTTGATTTGCAGTGTTACTTTTCTTTGGAGGGGTTGGGAGTGGAATGAAAAAAGGGAATGACTGCATGGCGTATTCAGAATTTTGTGCCTAGATTTAACATTTGGACGGAGGCTCGGTGTAGTTTGAGAACAAAAATAAGTATTTTGGGGGGTCCTGTTAATTTAGAGAATCTTCTGAAAGCCAAGAGTCTCCAGGAGCCCAGGGAGAAACCACACACACACTAGATAATGCATTCCTTTGTCCCTCTTCCAACAGCATGTAGTTACAGCCATTCAGGAAATTCCTAAGGCTTCAAGTTTAGGGAAACGGAGAGAGCATCTCAAACTTTATTCACCTTTCAGCAATGTAGTTAGACCTTTTTAATGGTGGTGGGTGTGAGACGTGGAGGCATGAGGCACTTTGAAAGCTAATAACTACCATTTATTGAGTATTCACTATGTGCCAAATGCTTTACCACATTTAATCCTCATATCAACTCTATAAGGTAGGTGCTAATAAAACTCCATTTTACTCTTTCAAAGCTGTGGCACAAAGATTTTATTTGCCCAAGATTGCAATACAGTAAGTGGCAGAACCAGATCTCTCCATCACATTTCATGCTCCAAGTCACTCAGCTATAAACCTAAGTGGCAGGATGCCATTTACAGGTTCCAAACGTCTATCCTGCCCCCACCTTGCCGCCAGTCTGCTTGACCAGCATTGATGACAGACCAAGCCAGGGAGGTGATCATCTCCCTTTTCTTACTATAGCCCTCGTTCATTGACCAGAGGAAAGTTTCCTGTCCCTAGTCTCTCTTACTTGGTGCATACCTTGTCCCCTAAATAGATCGTAAGCACCTAGAGGGCAGGAATAACTATTCAACACATTTATTAAATAAACTTACTGTGTGTTAAGTGCCAAGGGAATATGTTTGAGGGCCTGACATCCCTGGGTCTGAGTTCTCTGCTTCCCACTGGAGCCACGTCACCTCCAGCCCCAGTAAGTCAGGGAAGGTGGACACGGGAGGGCTGAATCCTACATTAGGGGCACTCTTAGGGAAGGGACCTGGGGGAGGGGGGATTCTGAGGAGTGAAACCATTTCCTGTGTAGCTAGTTCCTGTGTTGACAGAAAGAGCTGAAGGGGAGGAGGGGGGTGAAGGGAACAGAGCCAGGGGCTCCCGGATTACTGAGGCTCTGGAGTTGAGAAGGCCGAGTCCTTACCCACCATGAACCCACTCTGCTACTGCAGCTGGAGTAACTTTTCCCAGCCTCTGTGCTTCCCTGGGGCAAGAGAGGGCAAGCAAACAGTTCGGGTGGGAAGAGAACTGGAGGAAGTTGACAGGGATGGGCGGGGCTGTGGGGGGGCTGACCAGGAACCCAGCTTCCTGCTCAGTACCCAGGCTTCCAGCCCCTGGCTCACCCCGACCCCTCTCAGCCCCCACTCCCCTCAGGAACCCAGGTTCTGGCCTTCCTCCCAAATCCCAGCTACCCCTCCCCCATCGGTTTCACCCCTCCAGGGAATGGAGGCTGAGACACCCCAGGAAGAAGAGGATAGCAAGCAGGTGAGCAGGGCACCAGAGGGGAGGATGACACTGGGGGAGAGGGAGATGGAAGGACCTGGAGCAGAGATCTAGTGACGGTGGATTCAGGGCATTTGGCAGGGCTTGGACACAGCCCTACTGAGGCAGGAATAGAGACCCAGCAAGAGGAAATGGGCTGCGGGCCTAGCCCCCTGCCCACCTGACTGGAACGGATGTTTGTCTCAGCATCAGGGCCCCCATCAGGATGAGCATGGCTGGCCCCTTGTGAAGACCACCCCTCGGCCTTGGCGATCTGCTCCTCCATCCCCTCCTCCAGGGACCCACTGCACAGGTACCCCCACCACGCAGGCAGCTCTGACCCTGGTGCCCACATCCTTCCTGATCCTATGACCAAGACCCACTCTATCATGAGCCCTCTCCCCACCTCCTCCGGAGCCCCAAAGGCAACCCCTCAACTCTGACCCCAAGTCCCTAACCACCTCACCCCCCTACCCACGCCTTCTGTCTGCCAACATCTAAGGGTCTCTGAGCCCTCCCCCTCCTCTCCCCAGCCCTGGGGCCCTGCTCGGCCTCCCTACTCTCCCTGCAGACTGAGCTCCTTTTGGACCTGGTGGCTGAGGCCCAGTCCCGCCGCCTAGAGGAGCAGAGGGCCACCTTCCACACCCCTCAGAACCTCCCAAAGCTAGCCCCAGCCCGGCCTCTTGAAGACAGAGAACAGCTCTACAGCACCATCCTTAGTCACCAGGTGAGGCACCCTCCAGGAGGCACGACCCAGGCTTCCTGGTCTCTTGGCCCATGTTCTCTTTTGGGCCCTTCCCTTCGTTCTCCCCTGGCATCTACCACCATCACAGCTCCTAGTTACCCCATCCCCATCACAGGTGTCCTATATGCCCTTCACACCACCCTGGCTCCTTTCAAGGCCCACTCTCTTAGAAGCTCCCCAACGCCCTCCCTCCCTCCATTCCTCCAGTGCCAGCGGATGGAAGCCCAGCGGTCAGAGCCTCCCCTGCCCCCAGGGGGACAGGAGCTCCTGGAACTGCTGCTGAGAGTTCAGGGTGGGGGTCGAATGGAGGAGCAAAGGTCCCGGCCCCCCACACACACCTGCTGAGACTTGAGCCTCCCACCAGTTCCCCTGCACTCCTGGGGCTCAAAGCTGGACAGTTCACTGCATGCCCTCAGCCCTGCTTGGCAGCGGCACCAGAGACTGCAAGACCCAGCAGAAATCTTAATATTCATCACCCTCATCTACCTTCCCTGGGAACTGGAGGGGGTGAAATTCCTCAAATTCTGGGAAATAGTCAAGGTAGGATGGTCAACTCCCTGTCTGTAGTTCCGGGGCGCTCCAGGTAGTGAGAGGATCCCATCCCCTGAGGGACATCCCACTCTCTACTCCGATTCCAGGGAGTGTCTGGGAGTCTTGGTCCTGAGCTGTGAGAACCCCTCAATAGACAAGCCACTAGTCAGGATCTGAGGGCTCAGGCCAGTGTCTCCCAAGAACAGGCAAATCTCCCGTGACCTGAGACAGCTCCACCCTCCTTCCCAATAAGAGAGGAAGAGAAGGCACAGCAAAGGGAAGACTACTCCCTTGCCCAGCACCACCCCGCCCCAGCGCCGGGACTGAGGGCCTACGGGCTGTGAAGGGACAGCCCTGCCCACCGTTTCCCAGTGCTGCTCCAAGTCTGTCTGTTTTGATTGTATAAATAAATGTAATTCTCCTCTGGACTGAAGACTGGTGTCTGGGGCTGCTGGGGCGGAGGGTAGGAAGGTAACCCCCAGCCTGGCGGGTGGCCAGCTCCCCTCCCTGGCTGGTTAATTACTGGCTCATTAAGCAGCGGCTGGAGACCTCCCTAATTATCACCCCCCAAGCCCCCGTCTCCCAGTTTTAATTAAGTAGAACAGGGAGGGGAGTCATTAGGAAAAAAAATATGAACTGAGCTGTCTGAACCCAGGCATTCCAGCAGCCAGAGAGTCCACATCACCTAGATCCTTGATTCAGAACGCAGACGGCCCCCAGTGCCCAGCACGACCCACTCCCAGGCCACAGATGTCCGGCCCGGGGCCTTCCAATACTTCCCCCAGATGGACTAGTCTCCTCCCCACGTCCCCTCCTCCACTCGGTCCCAGTTCCTCGGTCTCCGTCGCCTCTCCCCGCCCCCAGCTCCTCCCTGTTCCTCCTCTCTGCTCCCCTCCTCTTCCTCCCCGGCTCCCCTCCCCCAGCCACCCTCCCCCT